ATGTATAAGTGTACGACACACCACACACACACACACACACACACACACACACACACACACACACACACACACACACACACACACACACACACACACACACACACACACACACACACATATATATAAGCATATATATTTATATATATATACATATATGTGTATTAATATATATATACATATACATATATATATAGACATATGTATAAAACATATACATAGATACATATGCATATTTATATATATAATATATATATATATATATATATATATATATATATATATATATATATATATATATATATATATATATATATATATATATATATATATATACGTATATATATATGCTTATATAATATATTATATATATATATATATATATATATATATATATATATATATATATATGCATACGCACACATACATACATTATGTGTATATGTAGGTGTTTTATCTTCGTCGAGGCTGCGTAACCTATCTATCATTCAGATTTGAGCCAATGATTTCTGTGAACCCTTTCGCTGGATGCAGAACCGGCGTCCTTGTGCGTTTTGTAATCCCGACCTCAGTTTATCACATCAGAGTAACAATTGAGTTGTTGCATGAGGCTTTCGTCCAAGTCATTTTACTTGATAACTCATTTCTAGGTCACACTTCAATAGAAACTTTATGTTCATAATCCATTCTAAAACCCTTCAGTATATATGTAGTTCTATAATGCATACTAATACATCAAAGATAAATATGACCAATAATATATTAGGAAATTCACTTCATAGGTCCCATAGGGAAAGTTATTACTTAGGTCTATGCCTAGGGCACATCGGCGTCCCTGAGGTTCACGTGAAGACAAGCTGATGCTCGTCATCAACCCAAGAATGACGTGAATGTGACGTATCAGTGACGTGTGACGAGGGTGACGTCATGGCTGAGTGTCTCTATAAATAGCTGTATTCTATCCTAGGTTTGGTTGCACTGCTAGTTACGTGCCTTTTTAGTTAATCATCGTTCTTTTTATAGTGTAAAGTGATCTGTAAACTTCTAAGTCAAGATTTTCTGTTTCTAACGCCTTTATGATTAGTAAGTTTTTGGCTAAGAAATCCAAGCGAAATATGCAAACTGTAAAAAGAGAATTACCACACATTCGCTTTTGGTCACCAAAGCCAGCGTGTTTTTATTATAAGGACCATTCTGATAAAAATGCAAATGAGAGGAAAAAATGTATATATATATCAAGAAGCAGTTCTTTTTCAGGAGGATAATAAAGACTCTGGTTAAGGCGACATGAATATTCCACTGACGTTTTTGATGAGAGTTGAAACCGAGTTTAAGTGTTCAAATCAGGATAGGTTCGTGCCCCACCCACGACCTTAACGGGAGACAACAGGATGTCCGGGATTTCGTGTCAACACTGCAGGACATATCAAGAATGAAACTTAAGTCGTGTTACTTTGAACAGCATTGTTGAAGTATTTCTTGATATATAATAATAAAAAAACAGGTGTCTTATCTTTTCAAATCCACTTAGAAACTTTCAGTACATAAAAATGTGGTGTAAAGAATTTCTTAATATTTTTTCATACATGATGCTGTAATTACATGAGAATAAATGGTGTTCTTGCCTTCCCTAAGGGGATTGGCGAGTCACGTGCAGCGTTCAGTCTACATAGGTTTAGTGTGTTGTTGCATTGATGCTTTGTTGAAATTACTAGTTTTTATAGGAGTGTGAGGTTTCGATAAAAGGGAGAGAGATAGGACCAAAACATTAATGTGAAAGGGAGAGAGAGAATGAGAGTTGCCAAATTGTAAAATTCTCGCCAAAGCCCCTTTCATAGTGGTAAATAACCCGATGAACACGAGAATGTTCTCAAGGATGACTATAGTCCGCTTTTTCTCTCTTTTATTTTCCTTGAGCAGACTGCGGAGGCTGAGGAGTCCTGTCTTTCCCTTCTTCCTGATAAACTGACGAATACTGACATATCACAAGGAAATTCATACGTGAATTTCGGAAACCACTAGACTGCCGGCGGTGCATGGGTACACCCGAGGTACCACTTCCACGCAATTTTAAAATCAAGTTTTGTTGCAATGATTTTAGACCTTTTTTTTTTAAGTTGAAGCCAAAGAGTAGAGCAAAACGAAAGCTGACTGTTAATTACGACTGGACAAGGGCTCTAGTGTACAGTTTTGTGTTCATACATATATGTGTATGTATATAATACAAATTTTCAAACGAGGCAAGTAAGATAAGTTTGTTGAAAAAAATGCTCTTCTCTGAGTTAGACTGCAAGTTCGATCTTTCATAAGAAAGTAGTTGAAGTTTCTAACCGAAATAATTGCAAGGATAGATAAATGTAATTTGATTTTATAACAAACCTTTGTTTATGAATTACTTTGCCAACTCCTCGGGAAAAGCACGACTTTCCAACCTTTGTGGTCAGCTAGATAAAAACTGGACTGTAGTTATTACACGTGTTTTAGTTACCCCATAACTTCAAAGATACACAATATATGCCAATTTGCTTTTTGAACATAGGCCTACATTGCTAATATTAAGAATTTAAAGAAAATGAATTATAGAAAATCTTGTTGCATGTTTGTAGTAGTCAGAGTTTAGGTTGGTGGAGTCGATGTCCACAGCACTATGTGGCTTCAGCTTTTGTAATATACTGCATCAAATAAACATGAAATTATTGTGAAGCTGATCCTAATATGTTCCATGTGAAGCTCACTTTATTAAGTTTCATGTGTAGTAAACTTTATCAATAAGGCTTCGAAACGAAGCTGATAAGTTAAGGTATGCGCCAAGCAAGAGATTAATAGACAATGTGCAATACTGACGCTGATGGTGGGAGTTGGCGTGAAGCTTTTATCACCATCCTGAAATGGAGCAATGAGTGTGGTGTCGCCCTCGTTTCGTGATGATGCACTGCTGACGTCAGTAGAGTGTTGTGAAGCCACGATGCTGACATCGGTAGGAATGTTGGGAATATGCAATGAGCGCGCATGCAGTGGGTTCGCGAGAAGTAACGCGGCTTTGTGGAATGGACTTTGAGCTTAACAGTTAATTATTTGGTCCATATTCCAGTAAGAACTTCCAGGGCGTCAGTCTTGTCAAAGTGATAGGTCAGAGGTCTTGGAACTATCAGGTAAGGTCACGGTCAACAGACTTTTGTGGCTGTCGCAACGTTTGATTGCAGCTTGATGGTGAGACTGGCTTGGTTACAGTGTTGAAGGATTATCCTGAGTAATGTTTTAAGATCTAAAAGTTCTCAGCTGTTATATATGCCTATTGATTTTGGAGGAGTGAGACGACAGGAGAGTTCGAAGGTAAACAGAGATTTCCGAGGGTAGCCTCTTGTGTCCAAGATCCGATGCACTGAAAACCGATTTAGACACATTCCGAGAGATGCCCTTCTCGGTCTCTAACGGAGATTCTTGCTTTGGGAACGAATCGCCATTGAGCAGGATACTCGAACGACGGTTTCTATTGCACTCGAGGCCTCTCCATCGAGCGGTTGACCGCAGCAGTGAAATGGAGCCTCGAACCTCTTGAAGATCCTCATGAGTCTCCACTGAATATTCCTTCGCAGCGTTTTCTTGGGACGTCGTTGTAACTGTTTGCTTCCCTGAGCATCTCCAACCGTGCTGGATAGAACTACAAAGCAGCCCTGCGTTCCACCTACATAGAGTTTGTACACTCTCAATGCACTGGACTTGGTTATCGGACTAAATGATTCACTATGCCAGATGACTCGCATTTTCCGAGATGACCCAAGTAATAACAGTAAACAGAAACCTCGGAGAGCAAAAACGATGGAAGAAACGCGACAATGGGCACTTTGGACCACCTGTAACATCCTATTCAGCAGGTCTGGGGATGTCCAGGACCCACAGCTCGTAGGATCATCTTAACGAAAGATACTGAAGAATGAAGTGTGTTTTCTTCCTTGACTGTCTGTCGAGTCCTTCACTCTGATCGACTCCGTTTAGGTTGATTATCGTGTCCAGAGTCTAACATGTTGATCTGTGGAGTTTATGCCGTTCTATCGTATAAAACTTCTGTAAAATACTATTTCAGATTAGAGAGTGAAAATGTCTTCATTTTGTTTAACTTTAGTTTCTTTTCCTGTACAGATTCAAATGCTTTCTAAATTACAATATATGAGTCACTGTGACGTACCTTTTTGAGTGACCTGTAAAGGGGTAACCGTTAATGTCAGAGTAAATTACGTTGATCAAAGGGCATATCATTGTAATGGTGACCAGATGATCTTTGAATCTTTATTTTCCATTACTTTCTCATTTTTTAGTGTCCAAGTAGGCTAAGCTAGCATGTCAGTCACTGTGCTGTTAATGTTGTTTGCTATGGCTATGCACTTGTACCAAAACTTCATGGGGAACCTATACCGCCAGTTTATAACAAAAAATGTATATAAGTTGCTGGTGAAGCATATTCATGTATTCTCTCTCTCTTTAAACTCCGGGAAGAATTGCCCTTCAACCTAACCTGAACATATCTACTGTACTTGATATATCTGCTTGCTGGGTGTGTGTATTTCCACCCTCTTTATGATAATTTCTTCATCCTTTTTCATGAGAGTGGTTATTTTAGATGGTACATGCACTTTTTTATAACCAATAACAGTATGATTATTGAATATTCTTTTCAGACAAGTTTATTTCCCTTTCGGTTTGATAATATCGGCTTCTTAAGGCGGCATTTCCCGATGGAAGGTGGACTCAGTGAAACAATGAAAGAGTTGAATCTCTTTATATGTAGTTTTCGACCCCCATGATGTTGGGATCCGATCCTCCATCAAACTGCCGCTGCCTCTCTTCTTCATGGTCGTGCGTGGGAATGCATCTGCTGTTAAAGCTTTGATTGTGGTGTATACAAGTTAATCTATATTGTAATTTAAAGAAAGCCTTAACTACGTGACTGCTGTTTTTTTCTTTCTTCTTTTCTTTTACTTTTCTATATTTCTTTGGACTTGATA